AGAGCCCCCCCCCCCCCCCAAAATGAGTCGGTCTAGGAATTGTGTCCTAGAGTCTCAAACTCGTCTTAGCCCTTCTGGGGAAGCTAGCCTTGCCCTTGAGATGGAGGATGTGATATAGAGCACGTATCCAAATCCTCCCAAAGTGATGGGCGGAAGTTCCTCAACTGGCGGTAAGAATCTGCAACAAGGAACTGTACTTTCAAGTTCCTGTTAGGACATCACACAGATGCCTGGACAAAGAGGGGTGCCTTTAAATTGGAGGTGGTCAGCCAGGCTAGGGCGCACAGGTACAGGTTAGAAGGGACCGCAGTATGGCCTTGTTCAGTCTCCTTAGGATGTAGTCATTCATTCATTCGGTCAACAGATAATGCCTTCTTTGTGCCAAGCACTGTTTGAGGCTTTGGAGATATGGTGGTGAAAAGTCATAAAAGAGAAAATAGGCCCAAAGGGGCTCATGACTTATCATAGAGCTATTATAAAAGCTAGAGGGACCAGCAGATGGCATAATGGTTGCGTCACTGGACTCCCACCTAGTCGACTGCGGTTCGAGTCCTGGACCTGGTGGCTTACTTTTTCTCTTTCTCTTTCTCTCTCTCTCTCTCTCTGGTCAAATTAAAAAATAATAACAAATGGAATTAAAGAAATAAATAATTCTTAAAAAAAAACTCAGGCCGGGCGCATGTGCGTGTGTGCTCAAAATCCCGAGAGGAGAACGGAGGAGAAGGGATTGTATCATGGCTATCCCCCGGGGGATGATTTCTCCCTTTCTGTCTTTCTGTCTCTGTCTCTCTGGTGAGCGTACATGCCCTATAGCAAAAACCTCTCTTAAAACAGAAAAACTAAAACTCACTCAGCTCACAATAAAAGATCACACATTTTTTTCCTAAAGACAAATGTTTTATTTTGTTGCTAGTTATATTAATAGTATCTTTAGGTTTATGTATGAGGGAGCAGTAGATAACTTTTAATTGTATTAGGAATGGCAGACTTGCCTGTATTTTTGTATTAAGAACAACATGTGTTTCTGAAGTTTTATGTTCCATTAGAGTTAGAATTATGGCATGTTGGAAAATAAAGATGGTGTAATGGTTATGTTGCTGGACTCACATGTAGTCAACTGTGGTTTGAGTCCCAGACCTGGCAGCTTAAAACTCACACTGGGCACATCTGTGTGTGCGCACAAAATCCTGAGACAAGAATAGAGGAGAAGGGACTGTAGTGTAGCCATCCCCCAGGGGGTGATTTCTCACTTCTGTCTCTCTCTCTCTCTCTGTCTCTCTGGTGAGCCTACATGCCTTATAGCAAAAATTCTTTCTAAAAATTAAAAAAAAATTACGGGATGTTGTGAATTTATCAGGAAGTAGGTTTACATTCATTCCTTCATCTAGCATGTTCGATTCTCTCTAACTCTACCAGACAGGAACATCTTTACTAAAATGGATTTTTAAGACCTTGTCAAAAGATAGGCGATGGCACTGCAGTTTGGAATCATTTAACTAGAATAGGCAGTATGGTGTCAGAAGAGTGTCCCATGTCTGGTCCTAGCTCTGCAATGACCGTGTGGTCCGAGTGAGTCATTTAAATTTTCTAGATCAAATTCTTGTGGTAAAACGAAGGAGGTTGGCATAATTGCCTATTAAGGTCTCTCTAGCACTACAGTTATAGCATTTTACCACATCATTTGCTATAATTTAAGAATTTACTGACAAGGTGGAATCGTCCATTTCCTCGGTTTTACTCTTTAAAGCACTGTTGGTATAACTAGACCAGGCCATGTGTAGTCCTGATACAAACACGAAATCTTGACGTGAAACATCATGTGCTTTTATTTCAGGGTTAATCTCCATTTCAGCTAATCATGGGAGAGATTAAAGTCTCTCCCGATTACAACTGGTTTAGAAGCACAGTTCCCCTTAAAAAGGTATGTATAGTTTTATTGCACCTCTGATTTGCACACTCTTGCATTGTTTCCGTGTGTGATTTAGATGCTCGTCTTAATAGTGTTTGAGAATAAAGGTTGTTACCAACCAACTGTCTCGAGTCTGGGTTTCACGCCTTGTCTGTCATGTACAGTTTTGAGACTCATTCAAAAATAAAAGCAGGTGTTGCTCATAATTGCTTTCATGTACTCCTCCAAGGTGGTATATGTACTCTTCTGTATAATTTACTGGAAAGCGGAAACCTTATAGTAGCACAACTAGGTGGTAAGTAGAGTCAGATTCTAGTCCTGTGTCTCAGATTCAAGATTTACAGTGGGTACAGTGGGTCACATTATAGAGCTCAGTTTGCAAGGATAAACTCAATTCTGTAGGCATCTTCTGGAAGCCTTATTTGCCTGGCATGTTCAAAAACCCTAAACATTCATATTGAAGTTTGATTTGGGGATCACACTAGACAGAAGCTAAAAAGTCACAGGATAAAGTCGTTGACTCCCTTGTAGAAGTATTACAACACAGTACTGTGTGCTTAAAATTGTCTGTGTCTGGGGCCAGGAGGTGGTATGGTGGTTAAGGCACTGGACTCCCACATGGCCAGTGGCAGTTCAGGTTCCGGACCTGGCATGTGTGCATGCATGCCCAAAATCCTGAGAAGAGAAAGAAGAAGGAATTACAGTGTGGCTATCCCCCTTGGGGATGATCTCTCACTTTCCCTCTCTCTCTTTTCTGTCTTCTCTCTTGTGAGCATATACCTCCCTTCCCCCCTCAAAAAAAAAAAAAAAAAAAAAAAAGTCTGTGTCTGTTAAACTCCTTCTGGGGAGGTAGACAGATGTGGAAGCCTCATGGGAGTCTAGTTGATAATGCAGGTTCTCTCCACATGGAGACCGGAGATACATGTCTCCAAGTATACACAGGGTACCTGCTATATGCTTACTGCTGTTACAGGAACGCCTCCACATAGACCTCATTTGATACTTTCAGGAGTGTAACAAGGTGAGACCAGCAGGTGGCATAGTGTTAAGGCGCCAGACTCACACATGGCCAGCCACAGTTCAAGTCCCGGACTTAAGTGTAACAGGGTGAGTGGTGGTGTGCTCGTTTCTCAGATGAGGATTCTGATGTTCATAGAGGTGAATTAGCACATTCAAGGTCCTACAGCCCGGCAGAGTATGGATTGAAATCAGACTAAAGTCGGAAGTAGTTGGACTGCTCACCAGTGGGGCCGCCTGCCATTTTTGCTGCCGGGGAGGTTACTGAGCATGGGGAAGGACGAAGTGGGCCTTGGTCCCTCTCCTCTGTTCCGTCCTGTCAGGGAATTCACACGAGCATCTCTTGATGGACTCTCTCTCAGCTGTTGATCACCAGGCCCCACACAACCCAAACATGTCAAAATGTGTGTAGAAGTAGTTATAGGAAGTAGTTTCACTGATGTAATTTTTTCCAGTTGTCATAAATTTGCTTGAAATTTTGTGTTATGTTAGATTTTATTTTTATTTTTTAAAGAATTATTTTATTTAACTTTATTTATTTATTCATTTGTTCATTTCAGTTTGACCAGAGAGGGACAGAGTGAGAGAGAGAGAGAGAAAGTGAGAAAGCAAGCTGTCAGGTCCGGGACTCAAACCACGGTCAGCCATGTGGGAATCCAGTGCCTTGAACCACCACGCCAGCTGCCAGCCCCAAGATTTTACATTACCAAAGATCACTGTGTTTTCTAAAGGAATTCCGACCAAATTGCCATTCAGGCAACTTGAAGAAAGTTGCAGTGATAAACATATGTAAATATTTATGGCTTGTGTTGAGAACATTTTCTGTGTTACTTTTCAAGACACACTATTATATTTTTCTTCCAAATTTGATTATTGAAATAATTTTCTAGAAAATTTCAGAGATATGAATGTCTTCACATTTTATTACATGCATCATTAAAGGCCATTCAAAAGTTTTTGGCCATAGTCTTAGCAAAAAGGAAAAGCCAAACTATGGGTGGCAGAAATACAAAGAACAGAGACACGACCCTGCAATGTCGTCGTCACCATCTGTGACTCAGGAAAGTCCAAAAGGGAACGTTAAGCTCTCTGAACTTTGCCTTGCTCTTTGGTCTGCTCCTGGCTATGCCAGTACCCCAGCTTGTGTGCTGCCTCCCACAGTGGCACCGTGGGGTCCACAGCCCTGCCTGCCTGGAGGCCTTGAGTGTTTTCATGTAGAAGTTGGGGGAATATTGGTATGCACTGGCAAATGTTCAAGAAGTTAATGTGTTTTAAGTACCACCAAAAGCCAGCCAGAGAAAACGAAAGTTAAACTATCACACAATGAGTGATAGTAATAGTTAATACTCATCGAACATTTTGTGTCTACCGGGCTCTGTGCTAAGCACTTGACATGCCTTAGATCTTTTTTTTTTTTTTTTTTTGAGCGAGAGATTTTTGATATATGGTGCGTGCATTCACCAGAGAGACAGAAAGAGACAGACAGAAAGCAAGAAATGACCCTCCAGGGGTGGGTCATGCTGCAGTCCCTTCTCCAGTCTCCTCTCAGGATTTTGAACATGCACACACATGCACCCAGGGTCAGTTTTGAACCACTGGACCCAGGACTCAAACCGTGGTCAACTACGTGGGAGTCCAGTGCCTTAAGCATTATGCTACCTGCTGGCCCACTGCCTCAGCTCATTTAATGTTCATCTTTTCCCTTGTTGGGTCAAGAAGCACTAAATCAGGAAGGTTTCTGATAACCTTACTTCCCACACCCCACACCCCAGCATTCTCTTTTTCCCAGAAAAGCCAGTTTCTCCCTGTCTCTAACTGAATGGTTTGAAGCATCCTCTAGGGACAGTGACACAGATGCGCCTTGTCCTTCCTCTGCAGCAGAAGTCTCTCCCCTGCCCCCACCCAGGGCCTGTCTGTCTGAGGTTCCTGAAGCGTCTCCTGAACTGGTGGTTCTTCTGCCCAGCTTCTCCCTGGAGCCCATAGTCTCAGCTCCCTGTCACCTCCCTGTTCTTATGCTGACCCTGCTGGTCCCAGTCGTCTGTCAGCATGGAGAATGACTTGCAGACCGCCCTTGTACACACGTACGCACGCACACACACACACACATGCAGAGCTGAAGTATGGGAAAGAAAGGAAATGGCTGCATAGAGAATACTGTTCATAGGTAAGAAAATACATTTCCTCCCATCATCAAGGGT